TCATGTTATAGGAAACTGTCTTTATTTGCTACCCAGATCCTTTGCTCAGTTCATAGCTTAAACCTATTTATTTTTTGTTCTGTTGTCAGCAGAGTTAGAAACTCACTTATAAAATATGGGGAAGAGAGCAAATCTGACTGAGTCTTTGGGTAGCCAACTCCTTTTTTTTTCCTATTACCTTTAAATTATTATTATTATTATTATTTTATTATATAAGTTTCAGATGTACAGCATTTACTGTTTGACATCTGTGTATACTACAAAATGATCACCACCACAAGTATAGTTACCATCCAACACCATACAGTTGAGCCCCTTCACCAATTTCAGCTACCCCAAAACCCTCCTCCCCTCTGGTAACCACTAATATGGTCTCTGTATCTATTAGTTTGTTTTCATTTTATTTTTTTTTAAGATACCACATGAGTGAAATCATACAGCATTTGTGTTTCTCTGATTTATTTCACTTAGCATAATGCCTTCAAGGTCCATCCATGTTGTTGCAAATGTCAGGATTTCATTCTTTTTTATGGCTGAGTGGTATTCCTCTGTGTGTATATACCACATATGCCAACTCCTTTTTATTTATCATTTTTTTTTATTTTTATTTTTTTAACATCTTTATTGGAGTATAATTGCTTTACAATGGTGTGTTAGTTTCTGCTTTATAACAAAGTGAATCAGTTATACATATACATATGTCCCCATATCTCTTCCCTCTTGCATCTCCCTCCCTCCCACCCTCCCTATCCAACCCCTCTAGGTGGTCACAAACCACCTAGCTGATCTCCCTGTGCTATGCGGCTGCTTCCCACTAGCTATCTATTTTATGTTTGGTAGTGTATATATGTCCATGCCACTCTCTCACTTTGTCACAGCTTACCCTTCCCCCTCCCCATATCCTCAAGTCCATGCTCTAGTAGGTCTGTGTCTTTATTCCCGTCTTACCCCTAGGTTCTTCATGACCTTTTCTTTTTTTTTTTCTTAGATTCCATATATATGTGTTAGCATACAGTATTTGTTTTTCTCTTTCTGACTTACTTCGCTCTGTATGACAGACTCTAGGTCCATCCACCTCACTACAAATAACTCAATTTCGTTTCTTTTTATGGCTGAGTAATATTCCATTGTATATATGTGCCACATCTTTATCCACTCATCTGTTGATGGACACTTAGGTTGCTTCCATGTCCTGGCTATTGCAAATAGAGCTGCAATGAACATTTTGGTACATGACTCTTTTTGAATTATGGTTTTCTCAGGGTATATGCCCAGTAGTGGGATGGATGGGTCATATGGTAGTTCTATGTTTAGTTTTTTAAGGAACCTCCATACTGTTCTCCATAATGGCTGTATCAATTTACATTCCCACCAACATTGCAAGAGGGTCCCCTTTTCTCCACACCCTCTCCAGCATTTATTGTTTCTAGATTTTTTGATGATGGCCATTCTGACCGGTGTGAGATGATATCTCATTGTACTTTTGATTTGCATTTCTCTAATGATTAATTATTTCATGTGTTTGTTGGCAGTCTGTATATCTTCTTCGGAGAAATGTCTGTTTAGGTCTTCTGCCCATTTTTGGATTGGGTTGTTTGTTTTTTTGTTATTGAGCTGCATGAGCTGCTTGTAAATTTTGGAGATTAATCCTTTGTCAGTTGCTTCATTTGCAAATATTTTCTCCCATTCTGAGGGTTGTCTTTTGGTCTTGTTTATGGTTTCCTTCGCTGTGCAAAAGCTTTGAAGTTTCATTAGGTCCCATTTGTTTATTTTTGTTTTTATTTCCATTTCTCTAGGAGGTGGGTCAAAAAGGATCTTGCTGTGATTTACGTCATAGAGTGTTCTGCCTATGTTTTCCTCTAAGAGTTTGATAGTGTCTGGCCTTACATTTAGGTCCTTAATCCATTTTGAGTTTATGTTTGTGTATGGTGTTAGGGAGTGTTCTAATTTCATTCTTCTACACGTAGCTGTCCACTTTTCCCAGCACCTCTTATTGAAGAGGGTGTCTTTTCTCCACCATATATTCTTGCCTCCTTTATCAAAGATAAGCTGACCATATGTGTGTGGGTTTATCTCTGGGCTTTCTATCCTGTTCTATTGAGCTATATTTCTGTTTTTGTGCCAGTACCATACTGTCTTGATTACTGTAGCTTTGTAGTGTAGTCTGAAGTCAGGGAACCTGATTCCTCCAGCTCCGTTTTTCTTTCTCAAGATTGCTTTGGTTATTTGGGGTCTTCTGTGTTTCCATACAAATTGTGAATTTTTTTGTTCTAGTTCTGTGAAAAATGCCAGTGGTAGTTTGATAGGGATTGCATTGAATCTGTAGATTGCTTTGGGTAGTAGAGTCATTTTCACAATGTTGATTCTTCCAATCCAAGAACATGGTATATCTCTCCATCTATTTGTATCATCTTTAATTTCTTTCATCAGTGTCTTATAGTTTTCTGCATACAGGTCTTTTGTCTCCTTAGGTAGGTTTATTCCTAGAGGTTTTATTCTTTTTGTTGCAATGGTAAATGGGAGTGTTTTCTTAATTTCACTTTCAGATTTTTCATCACTAGTGTATAAGAATGCCAGAGATTTCTGTGCATTAATTTTGTATCCTGCTACTTTACCAAATTCATTGATTAGCTCTAGTAGTTTTCTGGTAGCATCTTTAGGTATATCTGTGTATAGTATCATGTCATCTGCAAACAGTGACAGCTTTACTTCTTCTTTTCTGATTTGGATTCCTTTTATTTCTTTTTCTTTTCTGATTGCTGGGGCTAAAACTTCCAAAACTATGTTGAATAAGAGTGGTTACCAACTCCTTTTTAAATGAGTGTGAACCGACTCTAGTGTAAGACCATCTGGTGATGAAACCAGCAGAAGCCCAGATACTCATTTTCTTGCCACATAGATTGACACTCGCCACTAACACAAGAGTGTTAATGATGATGCATCTGGAGCAAAGACAAAGTAGGAAGTCCAGGGACTGGGGGAAATGTGGATTATCTGAGACCAGAGTAATATGGATTTGGGTCCCGGTCTTATGGGCCAGGAAGAGTTGAGGGGCAGCTCCAGGCAGTACTTAAAACACTTCCCATTTTAATCTGCTTTCTAGATCACTTTGTGATAGAAGGTTTAGCTCTGGCTTCTGCCATGGCTATGTATCTTATGCCTTTCCAGAGGGTAACATTCATACAAACAACGTAGAAAGATGACAAGTACATTTGCAGTTATTCACATAAACCAGCGTAGCTGGTGCATCTGTTATTAGGCTGCTTTCATGTTAAATTTTTCATTATTTTGACATTTCAGTTTGGCATTTTTAAATTTCATCTTTGTCCCTTTTCATCTGTTATATTTCAGTGACTCAGATATCCCACATCAGAACTGTGTTAGACACAAGGGAGAGAAAAAAAAAGAAACAGACACTGTCCTCGAGGATCTCACAAACTGGGACAGAGAGAAAAGCTCAGCCCAGAGAGGGAAGGAACTAGCCCAGCTAGCCAAGAGTCTTCTTTACTCCTCTGTTAATAACATACAAAAACAGAACCCTGCCTCAGGAAGATTAGGATTCCATTGATCCTCTAGGGCAGCAGGCAAGGCTCCAAGTTCTGTGATACACCCAGGTGATACTGGCTCTTTGTGTTCTAGGGCTGTGTTCAGATCCTCAGATTAAAAGAGTTCTCCTTACTATCTCCCCTTAGAGAACCGAATTGTCATTTAGAGATCAGCAACTGCAGGGAGGATAGCCATCTGCTATATAGAAAGAACCAGAGGTTTCTGTGAATTGAATTAGGACCTCCCTCCCCCATCAGTACTGCATAGTGATTAAAAAAGAGGGAGTCTGTGGGCTTACAGAGGAAACTGTCTTAAATGGGAGTCTATGCAGGACTGTCTACTGGCATTTGAACCTAAATAACTTGTCAGTGCCTTGATTTATTGTTTTCCTTTTTATCTTGGCTACTTTGTCGAAATGACATTAGAAGTTCCAAGATTTCCCTCAACTGTTCCGTATCTGGGGAAAACTTTTTTAAGAAAGATGAGATTTCAAGGCAGGATATAAAGCCTTACGTAGGTCATTTGGATCTCTTGACTCGTTTATGTCCATTTGTTTTTAGACAGAATTTGCAGAAATAAAATCTATGTATAAAACATACACATGTACTATCACAGTCATTCAGGTATAAGTTAACAGCTGCCACGAATGTTGGTCCAAACATGCCATATTGACTGAAAACATATCTCTGTATGAAATTGAATTCAAAGTGTGCAGTTATAATTTTTAATTTTTTCAGTGGTAAGCTAGGTTATGCTCCCTTTCTCTTTCCTGTTAATTGCAATTTCAAACAAATCAGCTAAAGGGTTGAGCTGAGGAGAGAGAGGAATATGAAGAGCAAGAAGGAATCAGGTACTTAAACAAAGTTTTAGCTTTGATGCATTTTTGCTTGAAACACAGAACAAGTGTTATGTTTAGCTTCCCCTGCTCTAAAATAGCACTGTTAATTTTTTCATTTGGTGATTTTCACACAAGTGCTAATGACACGTTTCTATAAATTATATTAATTTAACTTATCTCCCTAAATGTTGTTCTGTAGCGTGTAGCACGGATGTTCTCAGACTCTTGGCTGTGTAAGCTTGTTGCAGTTGGAAGCGGAACAGAAACATCTGAGAGGCATTATTTGGATTACAGATGCAGGAGCATCTGATCTCACCTTTTGCTCGGGTTCCTAAATCACAAGTGTTCTTTCCCTTTGCATTCAATCTGTGTGTCCTGCCCCCTCCATCTTTGACATTGCTCCAGGGTTGGTTTTATGGAGAATGCACTGTCATTGTACAAGTTAAAGGGATAGTAAGTTTCGTTAATCATATTTAATAGTTTAGTTTGCAGGAGGGTGACTGCTTCAAATTTAAAAGACAGAGGAGGTTGGTATGGACTATAATGTGCCCTTTCTTGTCCGTGAAAAGGAATACTCATATTTATGGAAAAATAACTATTTTTTTTTTCTTTACAGAGTATGATTTCATCCATTGTAAATAGCACATATTATGCCAACGTGTCAGCAACCAAGTGCCAGGAGTTTGGGAGATGGTATAAGAAGTACAAGAAGATTAAAGGTAAACTGACTTTTATTTTTGAAGCCTATTTTCAGTTTTTTAGGTCAAGGAGTTGTTGATTCTTGGGAATTTATGCTAATTTAGATACAATTTTTAATAAAATTTTATACACTTTTTTATAAAGGTAGGATTCTTTTTTTTAATTGAAGTATAGTTGGTTTACAATATTGTGTTAGTTTCAGGTATATAGCAAAGTGATTCAGTTATACATGTATATATATATGTGTATATATATATGTATATTTTATTCAGATTCTTTTCCATTTTAGGTTATTATAAGATATTGAATATAGTTCCCTGTGCCATACAGGAAAGCCTTGTTATTTATCTATTTTATATATAGTGGTGTTTATCTGTTAATTCCATACTCCTAATTTATCTGCCCCCTTCTCCTTTGGCAACCACAGGTTTGTTTTCTATGTCTGTGATTCTGTTTCTGTTTTGTAAATAAGTTCACTTGCATTATTTTTTCAAGATTCCACATATAAGTGATATCATATAATATTTGTCTTTCTCTGTCTGACTTCAGTCAGTATGATGATCTCTAGGTCCATCCATGTTGCTGCAAATGGCAATATTTCATTGCTTTTCTGTGGCTGAGTAATATTCTGTTGTATGTATATACCACATCTTTATCTATTCATCCGTTGATGGACACTTAAGTTGCTTCCATGTCTTGACTGTTGTAAATAGTGCTGCTATGAACATTGGGGTGCAAGATAAGATTCTTAATATTTTCATCAAGAGATCCAGATTGGCTCCCTTAAAACTAAGATGGTGTTAGAACTAAAGTAAAATTCTTAGCATAATATATGAAGTGTGTAGTTTTCACAAGAGATGCTTGTGAAGGCTGAGATCTTTAAAAATATTTTGAAGTTGTATACTTCAGAGAGGCATGTCTATTTAAAAAGCTCAATCAATAAATCATTTTCATTAATTTATTAATGAAAAAAGCAGTCATTCTAGGTTAAATCAGCACTTATAGTTTAAGTACCAATTATCAAATTGAAATGACTGTGTGGTATCAGGAAATCTTTGGTCAGAAATGGAGTTTTGATGTTGTGTTTATTTGGAGACAATTCCAGAACAGTGGTTTAAGCAAAGGGACTCTGCAGTCAGGAGGACTTGTATTCAAATCTTTGTCTTCTGTTTACTAGCTGTGTGAGCCTGAACAAATTATTTAACTTCACCAAGACTCAATCTCCTTATCTGAAAATTGGAAGTAATAAAAGTAAGTCACTGGCTAGCTGTGAGGACTAAATATGTTAATACTGGCACAAAGTAATCTCTTAATAAACAATAGCTATAATATTGTAACAATAATTAATGGTAGTAATTCTACTAGCAGCAATATATTACATATAGAATTATATCTGGTCCTGAATACACCATTCTCATATAATAAATGGCATGCTATTTAGGCCATCCAGCCCTTTAAATATATGTGATATTTTGCCTTTGCAAATTTTTCAATGCTGGAAAAATTCTGTCGTTCTCACCCCACTTCAAATGCTATTCAATTCAAATGCTACCAACCCCTGAGGGGATTGGGGGATAGCTTGGTAACAGAACAGGTTGATGTTTGAGGGTTCTTCTAGTTCATATTTTGCATGATTATGACATCATTCATCATGCTTTATTATAGGAATTCAGAGACTTGCTGATGGTTCACTGCCTCTGTTGAGAGGGTTAAATGACAATTTATGGTAGGCAGGTAAAAGTAAAGGATTAATTTATTTGTTTTTACTATCTGTAGTTTTCCTCTAGGGAGACAGTATGGAACTAATGCCTCTTGGCTGTTGAGTATTTGGGAGTTTGTTTACAAGGTTACCTTTTGAGAAAATGAGCTTTATTTGTATTGGTGGCACATTTCTGATTACAAAGGAATGAGAGCATTTTATGCTAAATATACAATTTATAAGGAAAGTCAAGTTGTTGAACTACCCAGGAGAAATTAAGTTCACTAAAAATTGAATTAAGATCCATTCCTTTTCAACATATTCTAAAATTCTTAGGACCCTCTAGTTTCTGGCTTGGGTACTTGCTTTACAACGTTATTAATATTAACTCCTGTACAGGATAAGATGAATAACTCCTTCTCATTATAAGACATGATTGTGTGGTTCGGAAGTGTTCCTTTTCTGTAAGTGTTGTCTCCAAGTTTTCCCTTTAAAATCAGATTGTTAAAGTGCTTGAACAATATCCTCTTTGCCTAAAAATCAAAAGAATCACGCAGCTTCAAGGTCATTTGTTAGATCCAATTTACTTGCTATTATAAGAGAAAGGAAGAGAGCGTTCTCTTTTAATAGTCTGGAGTATAATTCCAGATTCAAAAAGACTGGAAACTCTTCACTCTAGTGTTTTCAGAATCGCCACTACAGAATCTGTGTGTGTGTGTGTGTGTGTGTGTGTGTGTGTGTGTGTGTGTGTGGTCTGTGTGTGTATATATCTGTTCACACACACATTAACACTTATGTCTTCTACTTTTCTCCTTTCTTTCTTAGCAAGTCAATTCTTCAAGCTCTATTTTTTTCTTCAAGATAGTAAATGCACAGTTAAATCTTTAAGTGCCATAAAAGCAGACTGAGACCTTGATTTCAATCAGGAGGTCAAGGATCCACACCTGAAGAGGCGGCCAGCTGCTGTGTACACATGCTATTCAAAGAGATGGAGCTAGTCATTGCTGTTAAAAAGTGTGTGTGTGCATGTGTGTGTGTCACTAGGAGGAGAAAAGGGAAGGTTAAGGTATGTGTGAAGTAAACACAAGCTGCCATAAAACAGTTCAAGTGGTGTTGATTCATCAACCAAGGGAGTGGGAGGAAAAACAAAGCATTCATGACAGGTATAATGGTGTAGAGAAAATAAACACCCCAGAGAAGTGCATTTTATTAACTTTCCACCTTCAGAGAAAAGGAAGTGTTGGACCTATTCAGGAACATTTCAGTCCTTACAAGCTTTATGCTGTGAATAGATGTCACTGTGGGAGTTCCTATCTAGTAGAATCCATTTCTCATGAGAAAGCAATGATTTTGTTTGTAAGATTTCTATTTGTGTCTATCCATTTTCAAAAAAAGTAGTGAATTTCAAATCTGGAAATAAAGTAGCAAAACCAGAATTCTACCTTAGGGCTCTTCCCCAGAGCGCAGAAGTCAGAGTTCTCTGTCTTTCCTTGTCTCCCCTCCCCCACCTTGTTTCCATTCCATAGTTACCAGTTTACATGAATCATTGCTGATGTTCAGTATAGAAGAAAATCTCAAGCTAGCTTACTGATGTCTCAAACTAAATGCAGGCTACATTGTTAAATATGTTTCCTATTATCTGCTAATGTCTGTTTTAATAAAACAGTGGGAACTAAATGGTTGCTTCTTAATCAAAACCATGATTTCCCAAACATAAGCTATGTGATTCTGTTACAAATTGCCACATATAGATCTCCTAGGTCAAATTTTTTTTCTCTTCTCATAGAAATAAACAGTAAAATAATTATATACTCTGAAAGATCAAAGTAAACATGACTAAAACCTGGCAAAAATAAAAGTCTACTGAAAGGTTTTAGGAAAAAAAGATCAGATTGCAAATTCTATAGTTAATGCTTAAATAAATATGAGAAAAATGAATAATCAATAATTTGATATCATTAAAAACAAATGTAAAGACTATATACAAATGGAATTGTCTAAATCTTGAAGTAAACATTTTAATGTGCATTTTTTGAATTTGTTGTTATTATAGCTAAACTATTTACACTTATTCTTTAAAAAGTCCTAAGTTGGTTTGGCTTAGCATGTTAACGTTATTTTCCCCAGTGATCACAGCAAAGCACATTCTGTTTACCTTTTTCCTTTAATTTCAAAGGCAATCATAGTTGACACAGACATATTTGAGTTAACATTAGTGTTAATTCAGGATAGATGGGGAGACAGTTTGTGTACTCTGGTTTTAAAGTTCAGAACCATGAACCTGCTTCCCAGGAGTTTTTGATACTGAAGAAAATGAAGTGGTTGAATGTGGTAGTTGGTTGGTTCAGATGGCATTCTTTTTTTTTTTTTTTTTTTTTTGCGGTAAGCGGGCCTGTCACTGTTGTGGCGTCTCCGGTTGTGGAGCACAGGCTCCAGACGCGCAGGTTCAGCGGCCATGGCTCACGGGCCCAGCCGCTCCGCGGCATGTGGGATCTTCCCGGACCGGGGCACGAACCCGTGTTCCCTGCATCGGCAGGCGAACTCTCAACCACTGCGCCACCAGGGAAGCCCAGATGGCATTCTTTTAATTGCTGTTCATCTCATACTGTAATTGCTTCTGGCCTAGATTTTACAATGTAGCGCTCATAAGCTCCCAGGATTCAGAAAAATACATACATTTTGTGGAAAAACAAAACAAAACAAAAAGACCGATATTAACGGTTGTTTAATGTGTAGGAGTCTTAGTGTTGGACCCAAGGATAATCCCCCGGGACCTAGAAACATTCATGCTATTAATTATTTTCAAGAATTTTGAGGGTTATGTGGGATTTACCTATCAATTTTTCTTTCATAGGTTCTATGCATTTTATTAAAACAATATTTTTAACCTCACTCTTCTTTTGGATTAAGTCTACTTAGACATACACTTGCCCCATCAGTTTTATGAAACTAAGTGGCAATTATGTGCAGTACTATTATTAATTATACTATTATGGCAATCTAATTCTGCAAGGGATCTTATAAGAATAAGAAAGTACCTTAACAAAGAAGCACTCATATGTTTTAAATGTTTCCTAATTAAAAATTAATAATTTAAAAGAGAATAATTTTATATTTAAAGTGTTTTTCATCTGGCACCAAAAGCAAAATGAACTGCCGTCTTCGGTCAGGTCAGTTTCAAGTCTTTAATATGTCACAAGAATTAAGGGGTCATTGAAAGTTCACACAATTCTAGTGGATATCTCCAAATTATTTGTGTCATAAAATAATACCACTAGAATGAATGGACCTAACCAAACCCTATACTGTGGCCAGAAAGCA